AATACCGGGCTGAACATAATGTTAGAACTATTCTCCCAAGAAGTTAAAGAAGTGCTCTTGCAACATTCCGATGTGGAGTTACTGTGCCTTTAAATAACAATACCGGGCTGAACATAATGTTAGAACTATTCTCCCAAGAAGTTAAAGAAGCGCTCTTGCAACATTCCGATGTGGAGTTACTGTGCCTTTAAATAACAATACGGGGCTGAACATAATGTTAGAACTATTCTCCCAAAAAGTTAAAGAAGTGCTCTTGCAACATTCCGATGTGGAGTTACTGTGCCTTTAAATAACAATACGGGGCTGAACATAATGTTAGAACTATTCTCCCAAAAAGTTAAAGAAGCGCTCTTGCAACATTCCGATGTGGAGTTACTGTGCCTTTAAATAACAATACCGGGCTGAACATAATGTTAGAACTATTCTTCCAAAAAGTTAAAGAAGCGCTCTTGCAACATTCCGATGTGGAGTTACTGTGCCTTTAAAAAACAATACCGGGCTGAACATAATGTTAGAACTATTCTCCCAAAAAGTTAAAGAAGCGCTCTTGCAACATTCCGATGTGGAGTTACTGTGCCTTTAAATAACAATACCGGGCTGAACATAATGTTGGAACTATTCTCCCAAAAAGTTAAAGAAGTGCTCTTGCAACATTCCGATGTGGAGTTTCTCCATTGTGTTTCAATGGAGTTGAGGATGAAAAACAAATCAATTCTCATCATGGACGTTTACTCCGTTGAAAACATTCTGATACAAATGGTAACATGTCACTCCAGTGAGTGAGTATTGTTTTACGCTGCTTTTAACAATATTCCAGGAATATCACGGCGGGGGACACTTGGGCCCACTTGCACAAAGCTGTCTTAGCGCTGTGACTATCTTAAGTCTACGGAAGAGTACGGAAAATCGAACCCGGGTCTTAGACGTGACGAGCGAACACTTTAACCACTAGTCTACCCCACCGCCCAACTCCAATTCGAAATGATACACGAATTATACACACTTTACATGCTCTTAAAATAGGGGATCGTGAAACATAAATGTTAATACCAAGTTTTTAAACAAAGGTTAGTGCTGACGACAAACGTCCTATACAAGAACGTTTATCTAAGACAAAATTGTTATGGATGAGCAACTTTTTTATTACAATTAGGCGACGTTTCGGTGTAGATTCTAACACCGTTATCAAGCAAATGATAGAATCTACACCGAAACGTTGCCCAATTGTAATAAAGAAGTTGCTCATCCATAACAATTTTGTCTTAGTTACTATTCCAACTTCTAAATGCCACTCAAAGAAGAACGTTTATGTCTGCACAATTTACACCAAAACACATTCTATAGTTTGCACATGTTTCACTCAGAGGCACGAATACGTGCGTTGGGTGTCATTCTTGATTTTGACACTTTCAAGGAAGGCCGATTAATCTCCATGGACCATTATTTCTGCCAATCTCAATGATTCTGCTTATCATACAATTGTGATTCACTTCATTCATTGTTTGTGTACGAACGCGCGATATGGCGTCTACAACACGCGGATCGCCGACGGGCTATTGACATGCTGGATACTAGCGGTCAGCCTGCAGTGGCCAATACGTTCCATGTGTCACGGTCTGTGATTAGCAGGCTATGGAACAGGTACATCAAACCCAAATTGTTGACGATCGACCCCGTTCATGGCGTTCCAGGTCAACGACAAGAGTACAAGATCGACTGACCAGAAACAAGGCTCAACGAAATAGAGGTCAAACGGCGAATCCTATTGCTGCAAACATTCATCAGGTTACTGGAATGCCAGTTACGGGACAGACGATTAGAAATCAACCTAAGACCTCATGATAGATTTGGTGATGGATCGGTTGCAGTGTGGCTTGGCATCAGTATGATTGAGCAAACACGTTGGCTGAATTTGGCAAGGTGCTGCAAGAGGAGTGGAACATTAAGTCGGGTGAGTATATACATGTATACGAAGGTACGTTTATGCAGCAGCGATGTCTATCTTTCCGTAACTATCACATCAAATCAACAGGATCTAATGTCTAAATGATTTGTTTGTTTGTTGTTTAACGCTGCACTCAGCAATATTCCAGCCATATGACAGCGGCCTGTAAGTAATCGAGTCTGGACCAGACAATCGTTAGCATCGATCCACGCAATTTTCGATAATTGGGATACGATGTCATGCATCTACATTGTCAGCGAGCCTGACCACCCGATTCCGTTAGTCGCCTCTTACGACAAGCATAGTCGCAAGAATGAGTTACTGAAGACCTATTCTACCCCGGATCTTCACAGGTAATGTCTAAATGAACTTGTAGTAAGCGTGCTGCTCTTACGTTACTTAATCTCAAACATTACAGTTAAAATTTGGTACGATTAGATGGAGATTTGTTCATTCCAGTCAAATTTAAAATGCATTTATCTCTTTATAAACTGGTAAAAATCATAGTACATGTGTTAAATGAGTGAGTGAATTGATTTTGCGGCTCTTCGAAAACGGGTACGGCGCTGACAAAACTAGGAACAAAATCAGGGCGAACCGGGATTCGAAACCTCGATCATTTCCAGGTACGCCTAAGGGACGCAACTCTGCTCCTGTCGTTACGGATTGTACCACAATAGATTGTATTCCATATGATACAAATACGATATATTGACATGTATAACAGTTGTGCTTTTCATATGATGTTTGGGGGCGGTCGGGTAGCCTAGTGGTTAAAGCGTTCGCTCGTCACGCCGAAGACCCGGGCTCGATTCCTGACATGGGTACAATGTGTGAAGCCCATTTCTGGTGTCCCCCGCCGTGATATTGCTGAAATATTGCTAAAAGCGGCATATTACCATACTGACTCACACAAATATGTTCTGGTTCATTTGTTTAGAAATGAGAGATTATTGTTTTCCTGAAAAGGTTTTTTTAAAAATCACAAGATCATATAAAAACTTATGTATGTACATTTCTTATGTGGTCATTGATATAATCTTTTCCCTTATATTCTAAGAGTATAAGAGGGGGGATAGGGGCAAGATTGGACATTTCAAACTGGACGGTTTTTTTCTTAGTAGTGCGTAATGCCACCTCGATTTGTCAAACATTTATTCACTCGACGAGGCGTACTGTGTATGAGTCTCCCAATAGCGATTTGAGGGAGTCTGTTCCACTCCTCTTGCAGCGCCTTGCCAAGTTCAGCCAACGTGTTCGCTCAGTCATACTGATGCCAAGCCACACTGCAACCGATCCATCACCAAATCTATCATGAGGTCTTAGGTTGATTTCTAATCGTCGGTCCCGTAACTGACATTCCAGTAACCTGATGAATGTTTGCAGCAATAGGATTCGCCGTTTGACCTCTATTTCGTTGAGCCTTGTTTCTGGTCAGTCGATCTTGTACTCTTGTCGATCACCTGGTACGCTATGAACGGGGTGGATCGTCAACAATTTGGGTTTGATGTACCTGTTCCATAGTCTGCTAATCACAGACCGTGACACATGGAACGTATTGGCCACTGCAAGCTGACCGCTAGTTTCCAGCACGACTATAGCCCGTAGTTCCATAGTTCCATAGTCTGCTAATCACGGACCGTGACACATGGAACGTATTGGCCACTGCAAGCTGACCGCTAGTTTCCAGCACGACAATAGCCCGTAGTTCCATAGTCTGCTAATCACAGACCGTGACACATGGAACGTATTGGCCACTGCAAGCTGACCGCTAGTTTCCAGCATGCCAATAGTCCATAGTTCCATAGTCTGCTAATCACAGACCGTGACACATGGAACGTATTGGCCACTGCAAGCTGACTGCTAGTATCCAGCATGTCAATAGCCCGTCGGCGATCCGCGTGTTGCAGACGCCGTATCGCGCGTTCGTACACAAACAATGAATGAAGTAAATCACAATTGTATGATAAGCAGAATCATTGAGATTGACAGAAATAATGGTCCATGGAGATTAATCGGCCTTCCTTGAAAGTGTCAAAATCAGGAATGGCACCCTACGCACGTATGGGTGCCTCTGAGTGAAGCATGTGCAAAGAATGTGTTTTGGTGTAAAATTGTGCAGACATAAACGTTCTTTCATAGGACGTTTGTCGTCAGCACTAATCTTTGTTCAAGTATAGTTTCCTATACACACAACACCACTCTGTAGTTTCACATATACACAAAAAGGCAATGTATAGTTTCATGTGTACACAACACTACACTATAGTTTCCTATATACACAACACCGCTCTGTAGTTTCCTACGTACACAACACCACTCTGTAGTTTCCTACATACACAACACCGCTCTGTAGTTTCCTACATACACAACACCACTCTGTAGTTTCCTACATACACAACACCACTCTGTAGTTTCATTTATACACAACACCGCTCTGTAGTTTCCTACATACACAACACCACTCTGTAGTTTCCTACATACACAACACCACTCTGTAGTTTCATATATACACAACACCACTCTGTAGTTTCATATATACACAACACCACACAATAGTTTCCTATATATATACAACACTCTGTAGTTTCATATATACACAACACCCTGTAGTTTCCTATATATACAACACCACTCTGTAGTTTCATATATACAACACCACTCTGTAGTTTCATATATACACAACACCACTCTGTAGTTTCATATATACACAACACTCTGTAGTTTCATATATACACAACACCACTCTGTAGTTTCATATATACACAACAGCACTCTGTAGTTTCATATATACACAACAGCACTCTGTAGTTTCATATATACACAACACCACTCTGTAGTTTCATATATACACCACACTCTGTAGTTTCCTATATACACAACACCACTCTGTAGTTTAATATATACACAACACCACTCTGTAGTTTCATATATACACAACACTCTGTAGTTTCATATATACACAACGCCACTCTGTAGTTTCATATATACACAACACCACTCTGTAGTTTCCTACATACACAACACCACTCTGTATTTACCTGAATTACAAAAGGCGCCATTCCAGCAGTTGCCACATGTACAAGCAACACATTGTGAAAATATTGAATCGTATATGAGTTATGCGTTAAAACTACATCTGAACGAAGTCCAATTTTTTGCCTTGGAATCGAAAATTATAAGAAATAAAAATATCATAAATAGCAAAGTTCAGAACTTGTCTTGATTTTTATGCCATGTTTCAGATGTGAAACATAGTGAACAGCTGAAAAAGAAACCCTACTCTCATTTGTACATATGTCCTAAGTGTTGATGAGGAAACGATCATTTGTCTACAAATTCCTGTAAAGCAAACACCACCTGTTCCACCCTTGTCTGACGTGTATACAAAGTTTAAATTGGATATTGAAAATGTTATGAATGATGCTCCAGAAATTACACACATTGAAAACGCATAGATATTTTTAAAGAACATGTAACCCATATTAATGAACTAGTGAACGTTTGAAATGCAACACAAGGATGTGTGTTAGACTTGTTGTCAGAGTTCAAATCTCCGTATGGAAGCAGGCAAGATCACATTTAAATTATACCTCAAAATGCAAATTTAATGCACGCTTTTCAAACGTCAAAACATTTATTACATCCTTTTTTGTATCCAGATAGAGTTGTGTAATGTTATAGGGATATTTACTGTTACTTCAATCAATCAGAAATACTATACATCAGTACATATAACTGATACCAATGAGGACACACGTAAACCAATTCTCAAAGCATCCATGCACTACTATAGCCTCCACAAATAGCTGAACGCCCGTTGTGTTATATATTTGTTCAGCACACGTTGAAGCCTCGATGAGCTATGTTGTTTAACTGATAATCTAAAGGCTTGAACCATACCTAACTACGTGAACAGGTTTCTCATTTAGTTCTGTCACTGTGAGTGAGTGAGTTGGGTTTTACGCTGCTTTGAACAGTATTCCAGTTATATCACAGGGTGTCAGCTTAATGTGGGAGGAAAGCCCGAAGTGATGCAGGCCTCAGATGGTATACCCTTATTGGTGAAACCCAGGAGCACGGGTATGGTGCTGACAAACCTAGAGACATAATCGGGGCGAACCCTGTCACTATGCGTTCCTTTAACAAATGTCCTTTACAAATCAGGTCAGATTTCTACACGTGAAAGATCGTCCTCTGTTTAATCACTGACATGGTGAATTACGTTTACAAAAGCCGATCTGGACTTCTTGTCGGTTGTCAATTTTGTATATCTTCAACTGTGTATGGAGATAAATTACTCTATTTTAAAATTCAGCGCCGGCAGAATTTGAATACTTTTACATATCTGGCAGACGTAACATACAGCAGGCCGTCAGCATCAAGACAGACACCAGCAGGATATTTCAGACCATCCTGTTGTGTGAGGACATCTCTGACAAACTGCCCCGACTCTGTCTACAAGCAGGATATTACCTGTGCTGGTTGTTGTGATACCCATAGGCCATGTCAGAGCTCTGTCTGCTGTGGGAGTGTAGGTGAAAACAGCGTCCCCTTCACTGGTCACACATACAAGGGATTTTACTGCAGCTTCACTGACTATCAAGTTGTTGTTCCTGGTGACGTGGATGTAGTCTGGACTCTCTACCACCCCCGTGTTGATAGACCTCAGTATCCTCCCTGTCATGTCCAGTATGTCCACAGAGTGAGACTGTCCATCTGTACCTGCCGCCAGCTGTGAAGGACTCAGACAGGCTAGAGCGTAGTACTGCTTGCTTGTTTTGATAGTTGACAGTAATACAGGATCTGGGGTAACATTCACTGTAACTATTTCCTTACTGCCTGGAACACAGACAGCTATCTGACTCTCACTTAACTTGGCTATTTGCCAAGGACCATCAGAAAGCAGAAGCTGATTATCAAAGGATTTGAAGTTTGATGTGTAATATGTTTTGAGACTGTTGTTATTGTAATCTGCAACTACCATCACTTTCACGCCATCAACAGTCAACACTGTGACGTCATAAAACCGAGGATCCTCCCCGTCCCCATCTTCCTCGCAATCAATGGTGTGATGTAGAACAGGAGAAGACCTGGGGTCACTCACTCCATGGACGACTTGAACCTCCCCCAGCTGTAGCTCATCAACTGCTTTACTCAGCTTGTCCAGGTCGCGTGTCAATACAACCCTTCCTGCTGCTGGTCTGTTGTCCGTGTCTTTGTTGTCTGTAGACGTCTCACACATCGACTCATAGACGGCATACATGTCCACCTCACAGTTGGACGTCACAGCATTGGCTGTGAACTCATACTGCTGCTGGTACATCTGTAGCTCGATCTCCTGGGATTTTATATCTGCTTGTAACTCATGTAATTGTTCATCAGTAGCTTTGTCGATGTCACCAAGGAGTTGCTTCTCTTTTCTTAAAATAGCACGCATCACTGTTTCCCGTGTCTTCATGACTTGATCTTTAAGGGTTTGTGAATTACTCTTCACATCTTGAATTGTAGAGTTTCTCTGGGTTATGATATTATTAGTAGCCGCCATGTTGATTCTGAGCTGCTCTATTTTGTTTGTCAGTTGTTCCTTCACAAGAGGGGTCATACTCTCTATTGTGTCAACATCCTTACATGCCCTGTGTTTTATACTGCAGCATATCGTGCATATTGCCCGCTTGCAGTCTTTACAGAACAACTCTATCCGTTTGTCTCTGTGGACTTGACGCGTGAAGCGACGCTTGACCTTTGTCTTGGTGTGATCAGACAAGTGAGCGACTTCATGGTCACACAACCCTGGCATCATGTTGTGCATCTGGAGACATCCTTCACAGAACACAACATCGCAGACAGAGCACCAAGAAGTGGCGGGAGTTGTCTTTCCTTGTTTTGTACAAACACCGCACAAGTTTTCCTCCACAGCTAAAACAAACAAGTGTGTTTTATTTCATTTGTCAGAAACAAGAATTAATAACAGGTAACACATTAATTTTGTAACAAACGGCCACGCCCTTTCTGAAGATAAACATATCATATGGCACAGGTTGTAATGAAACAATGATGCTGTGTCACAATGTAGCACTCCCCTGTCAATAATGACCTACAGGTAATCATAATCACAAGATTATATTTGCTGGCTAGATATACAATAACAGATGCATATTGGAAACTGCGGCGTTGTAGCGGCTTTATATATGGGAGCCTTAACTGACAGAGAACATAACATGCACGTTTTCCATTAGCATGCTTCATTACAATGTAGGGCCATGACACAGCCAGTCAGATGTACCTGCAACTAAAGATCAACCCTACAGTTCTGTCAGCACATCCCTGTGCTAGCTATGGGATGTCACAGTGGAGGGCGACTAAGATCAACCCCACAGTTCTGTCATCCCTGTGCTAGCTGTGACATGTCACAGTGGAGGGCGACAAAGATCAACCCCACAGTTCTGTCAACACAACCCTGTGCTAGCTGTGACATATATTGCAGCCCTCAATCAGGATAAGCAGACACAAATTAACATGAAGTAAAAATAAGCACTTCTGTGAGTGAATGCTCGTCAATGCACAGATGTGTTGTCGTTTAAAAACCTTTGAAAAAGGTATATTAGTCAGGCAGTAGTATTATAAGCTGATTACCCTTTGTGCTGGGTCCAAAGTCGTCCATCAGCCCCTGTATGACGTGGCTTGGTTTCAGCTGACTGACCCACTCCTCTACTGGACTGTCAGGGGTGGTCACATTCGTCAGTTTTCTACAGGAGGGACATGGGCTTGGCTTGGCTTGTACTGCTTCCGGCTGTGTGTATGTGTATTTCAGCAGACAGGACTTACACAATGTATGATGACACTGAAGTGTGGCAGGGTCTGTGAACACCTCTGTACAGATGACGCAGGTGAGGTGGTTCTCTGTGAGCTTCTTAGCGGTCGCCATCTGAAGCCAAACCGATAGTTTAGTGAAGTATATATGCACATGTTATAGACAGAATCATACAACATGTACATGAATGCATCATCCCCAACGTCCCAAGACGTGACATCATTACAAAACAGTGAGACAGGAGTTTACGTGACAATACGGCGCCCAGTGCATATATATCTGTGGAACATCACGACTCTTGTTAATTATGTTTTACGTAAGTCGCACTAAACCTCAAATACCACACAGTATCATGATACCATTTCACGTTCTCCCCTAAGTAATGAATATGTACATTCCATGAAGTGGAGAGACTGTGTGGAATGTATGCCATGTTTTTCAAACACATACCTGTCAACTCTCAAGCATCTCGCGTGAGTCTCACTCATTTATCACCTGTGTCACGCGTAGACGCAATGTTGAGGGAATTCTCACGCATTCATATAAAATGAAGATAAAAATATTTTGAAACGCTTTTCTCTTTTGATAATCGCGATTGCAACCAACAGTTTGAGAAAAATCATTCAAAACCAGTTTTCGCCATCGTCAAATATTGGCGTGTTTGGGGATACACACTCTCCTCTGTGAAGTACTACGTTAAGATTTAATAAAAATCGACAACGCCAAAGAATAACCAGTATCTGCCGAAACGCATTCCATCTAAGGCAAAACAGTGGTGAAAATTATATGAAGAGATACCTGGAAATCAGTGTCGACACCAGGTGTTCGCTCCTGCTGTGCAACGACAGGCAACAAACATTTACTTCATGGGTGAGTAAAAACCTAAAGTCTTCATTGTCTTCATGACCGGATACGGATTGTCCACACACACGCACACGCACGCACGCACGCACGCACGCACCCACACTCAAATACACACACATCACACACACACACAACAGACAAAATCATACAGGCATATACTGTCACATGACTGATATTAAACATACATGCAAGCCGATGATGCTTAAAGGGACATAACTCTGATCCAACCTTGTTATCGCCACAACACCTCCCCCGACCCGAAGAACTTACCTATCGTTCATGTGGTGTTTCCAGCACGCATGTTAATGTACATAAAACGCAATCTTCACTTAGGCAGCAAATCAAATGACCCGAGTATGCTAATGTGCGGGGTAGATGGGTGGACACCAGCAGACGTTTCGGCTAATTTCTACTTTCGTTATAACCGGTAACTACTTTTATCATATAATGGGTAGGTTTCTCGGCATGATAAAGCCAAAGGATAAAAACGATATCCGTTGGGGTCATATGCGGATAGATATGCAAATATCAAAGGTCAAGTAGGACTACTTTCGCTGTCTATAAACAAACATGGCGTCGCCCTCGTCATTCGGCGATCGAGTCAGAATTAACCAATGGGAATCTGGATAAACTACAGGGATAATTGCTATCATTATAAAAAAACCCAGTTTAATATACAGAAAATATTCGAATTAATTTTACGAGGGCACGAGGCCTAGCCAAGCGGGATCAGTAGCCATATCTGTGCTTGTAGACCTCTGTGGCTTGAAACCTTCTCCACAAATTAAAGTAGTTGGATTTTGCCGAAATATGTTTGAATTGTTACCTTGTTTTGTTTTGTCGCTGTGTGTAAATCTGACTACACTTCTTAACGTTATAACAGGACAGACCGACTGTCAACAACGTCTGAACGTGGACGTGACGTCTCATAGGCTAGGGTTAGAGTAGCTTCCCTTTGACAAAGGGCAGTTACTCTAGCGGACAGACCGATGGATTGCCGCGAAAGGCATTAAAAAACAACTGTTGTTTTGCGTATATGTTGCTTCGCCACTGTATAAGAAACAGATTTCAGTTGGAACTATATTGGCTACTGTCACTGTCCGACTGACACATCACTTACCCTGTTACGTAATAAATATTAATGCGCGCATTCCAGGAAAACTCGTAATGTTTCGGTAATGTTTGTGAGAGAGGGAAAGCGATTTTAAAGCACAGAATTAAAGAATGACATTATATGATAAAGAGGTTATCACGCTTCTGTGCTTGGGGATGGTAAATATCCTGTATTAGGAATAAACACTAAGCATTTAGCTCGCCAAGGCTCGCTAAATACAATGTTTATTTCCTAATGCAGTATATTTACCATCCACAAACACTCGTGTGATAGCCTCTATGTACTATGACCTCAGATAAGCGCAGTTCAAAATCTGTCTGCCCAGCTCTGTGTTAATTGATTTTGATAACAGTATTCTTGAGTGTGTAGCCTTTCACCAGCGATGACGATGCAGCTGCTGACTGACATCGTACAGACCTATATGGATGACGTTTAAGCTCATTTCCACTTTCGTTATAACTTGTAACTGCTTGTGTTTAAAGGCAGACGATAATCTGTCTGCCTAGCTCCATGTTAATTGATTTTTATAATTGTAATACTCTTGACTGTCTTTCACCAGCGATGACGATTCAGCTGCTGACTGACATCCTACAAAACTATATGGATGTAATCATGGTTGCCTCCTGCTGGATATGTCAATGTCAAGTCTACTTTCTGTGTTAAAGTCTAACCTCTGCCCTGACGTGTACAGATTAAAACATAGGTAACACAACGTACTGTCACATAATGTAAAATTTATATGTGTATGTGCAATGGCGTCTAAACATGTGACATACCGCTGTTACAACGTGGAGCTCTCTTCCCTGAAGTCGCCTCTCTTTCTGGTTCCTGAAATAACTGCAACCGCCCACCTCTTGTCATGTGAGGTAGATCACGTGAGGTAGATCACGTGATCTGGTATGTGCAGGTATGTACTTGTATCTCATTAGAAGCAGCTTTGTACGACTCTCTTCAGATCTGTACAATCAAGCCACCACTCCAGTATGCAAGAGTTTGACAGTTTGACCATTAGGCATTTATTTAAAATAATCTGTGCAATTTCTTTTGTTATTTCAATCAAACGTGAACTGATACAAGGTGTATTTTTCGAGAGAATGTATTGTAACACAGGGAGGAGTTGTCCCCCTTAGACCATAATATTGCATATTGAGCTTGGTTGCTGCTCATGACCCTTAGGTTTTTTTCTGTTTAAGGGCGGTGGGGTAGTCTAGTGGTAAAAGCGTTCGCTCGTCACGTGTGACGCTTATTTACAGACAGCCGTCGTATAGCTGGAATATTGCTGAGTGCGGCGTTAAACAACAAACGAACAAAAATCATTTCTGGTGTCCCCCGCCGTGATATTGATGGAATATTACAAAAAGCAGTGTAAAACCATACTCACTCACTCAATATCCGGTTTTTTTGGAATAGGTCTTCAGTAACCCATGCTTGCCGCCAAAGGCAACTATGCTAGTCGTAAGAGGCGACTAACGGGATCGGGTGGTCAGGGTAGGTGACTTGGTTGATGCATGTCATCGTATCTCAATTTGATCGATGCTCATGATGTCAATCACTGGATTGTCTGGTCCAGACTCGATTATTTCCAGACCGCCGTCAAATAGCTGGAATAATGCTGAGTTCGGTGTTAAACAACAAACAAACAATGTGGCCGCGGAATATGAAAAGGACTCTAAGATGTCATGGATGCGTTGAGGAAGACTGCGATTGATGATGATTAGTAGCCAGTAGCCTCCCGGGAAAATCGCTGTCCAAATTGCCTTACCAAGAAAAGACTTGTGCTATCCAAGGTGAGGCAAACGTTAGAAAGCTGAAAATTATGAGTGGATAGAATCGTTAGCACAAGACCTGGAGGCGAAGTTTCTCGATTCCGGGGATGGTATAAACTTGACCTTTGTAGTTCAAAAAGGGGGCGATGATAACTTCACGTCAGAGATGTGGACCTACGCCAGTGTAGGCGTCTTGAAAGATGATTACTGACAAAGGAGTGGATATATCTGGGATACTTGACTGTCTGAAATACATGCTAGATGGCAGTCACCTTGCATAGAAATACGTATGGGGAGATATGGGAAAAGATATGAATTATTACATGGTAAAGTGTCAGTGCTCATACTTGGACTTAAAGGACGGTAAAAAGTGGATCACCCAGGTAGTTTCCTCGCAAAGGTTGACCTCAAGGGTGGTTCAGATCAATACGACTGCACCCAAGTAACCATGATCAGTGTTGTGCTGTACTACCTATACTTGTAGCATAAAAAGCTACCTTTGGCTGCAGCAAAGAGCCCTAAGATATTTCAAACCTTCAGTTCGGCAGTGTGTTGCCTAACGAAAGTGCGGTATAACATGAGGGTTTATAGCCCACATAGAGACTGATTGTGTACAGTTCAGTCGAAGAATGTGCAGGAGCTCTGGCTAAGTTGATTTCTGTGTTGCAGATGATGTCTTGCCGACTTGAGGGACACTAAAAGTTGATCACCCCAGGCAGTTTCCTCGCAAAGATTGACCTCATAGTTGCGTACTGATCTTTATTACTTGCCAGATCACACGTTGAAGAGATCATTGGTTTAATAAACATACAGCTGTATCACACATTGTGTAAGACCAAAGCCCGTGTTAGTGTACTGCAGGAACAAGATTCACGAACAAATATTGAAATCTCTGAACATCCCAGGGCTTATTCAACGACAACGAACCAAGTCAGCGAGCCTGACCACCCGATCCCATTAGTCGCCTCTTTCATACCCATTTGAATATGATTACACACCCATAGTAATATGATAACATACCATAGGAAAGAAGCCCATCTATAAAAGGTACCATACACCGAATATTAACAGGAATCTAATCCTTCGGTAGAGAAGCTCCAATTGCTTCCATTGCCAATAGCTTGCGTTTGCTACACATTTGAATATAACGACGATATACATTACTCCTCCTGAATCTAACATCTTGGATCTGCCGCCCGGTAAACCCTATTTCAAACACCCAACTAGCTCCCCCCTTTCTGAAAGTATGGCCTGTCAATACGTCACTCACGCCCCTTTCCTGTAAAATATGATTTATAACTCCAATAAAAATGTCATAAGACAAGGCATTATGTTGCTTATCACACACTAGTTGTATTATTAGGTGCACG